TGTTAAGAATAAAATTTGCTGCAACTTTTGTTCTAAAAGTTTTTTTGTAACATTCACTGTTTCCTGGATGCCATCATTACCAACTAGTAAAATATTTCCATATTTTTCTTGAATAAAACTTGCTATAATTTTTGTTCTAGAAATTCTAGAAATTCAATTTGATTGATATCAACGTGAAAGTTAATGTTATGAAAATTGGATTTTATTTACTTAAGTTATTTTTTTACTTTTATTTTCCGAACGGTAATAAATTTTTTTATGTTAAAAGGTAAATTTGTAGTCGTATGCAAATCGTAAGAAAGAAAAGGGAAAAACGAAATATATCCCGACCCGGCAATAATAACATCTCCGATACGAATCAGGAAATCCGGGGGAGAAAATGCGGAAAGGGGATAAATAATTCAGTACCCGGAAAAATAACCACAAACTCCACGCGTAGATAAAATAAAGCGAAACTTGCGGAGTCTTTCTTCGGCGGATTCTCGGGCTTTAAATTACGGATTATCCCGACAAAGTTTCAGAACTAAAAGAAAAGGAAAAATGGTCGAATTACCGTAAATGTACAAATTTATCATCTTAAAATTAAATGTTATCTACCTACACATTAAGATTGTTAATCATTGTAAAAAATGCGTTAAAATGAGTCTAAACACGATGGGGTTATCTCAAAAAATAACCCAGAAAAACTAAAATAAAAATATTTTCACCATATTTTCAACCACATCATCGACTAAAACGTTTTTTGACTTGGTGATGAATCACAACGAAAATAAGCTGAAAATAAAATTAAAACGTCTTCAATTTTGGAAATTATGTCATCAATGTACACATACATTTACTTTAGTTAAAACATTATCTTGTTTTTCATAATATTATTCTCCCTTGGAAATAAGGTCAGAGTATATTAAGGGTAATAAATTCACTACTCGGTGGTTCTTGTCTGTGACATTTCGGTATTTATCGGTCTTGTTCCTTCCTCCATATTCGTACACGAAGAAAAAAGAAATAAAACGGTGCTTTTTTTTAAATTCAAGTCATAAATTTTGTATTACAAAGACAGAGAAATTTCTCGCTGGGCTATAAATTGATGATGTACACAATAGATTGCCCAATAAAGACCCCTCTAATTTTTTTTGTGGTAATTCTTATATTGTACTACTCATCGAGACCTATTCAAATATGTAATAGCTTGTTTATTGAATTTTGTATTTTCGATTAGACATACTGGTTAATGTTATTGGCAATGCAACTAATGCGTTTCGCGGCCTATTTGTTCATTCAAAGCATAATTGGCGAGAAATTAAACACCGATCGGGTTCGATCTCGTTCCAAACCTCATCCATATTACTGTATAAACCATAAATCGATTCCAATTGAACTTTCCATAAAGTCCTTTATGGTGAAACGTAACCTCGTTATAACATGATACTCACTTTACATAAAACGTAAAGAAAGAAATGTAAAAAGAGTTGTCTACAAGAAGGGGATTTTTTGTGGCAGAAAATATTAAATCCCAACAAATCAGCTTGTATATATTAACAAAACAGATTTTGATATACAGCTATCGAATTGAAGCGTCGACATGACTTATGTCCTTAATTATTTCGACGATATATCAAGTACGACCATCCCCTCATCGACAGGATGGACCGTAAATTGTGCACTTCAATCGCCGCCCTGGTTATAGCACACATACACACACACACCCGGCTTTATGAACATGTTAATTGGCCGATAATTGGGAGGCTTCGGCTGTTACGGAACTTTGCTAAAGCACGTGAAGCATGATTAGTGAGATGAAAATATTATCAATATCCTCTTACAACCAATTGAAACAGGAGAATAATACGATTACTAATAAAAGCTATACAAAGAGTGATGAGAAGTAATAATAGGTATTAACAATAAAAAAATTAGTTCAATGCTCATACACAATCACTCTATTATTTAGAGCTTCTTCCTGTTTCAACAGAAAAAAGTGTATATTCATTCCATTTTAGTAGTGTGTTTAGATTTTTGGTTTTCTGTGAGAGTAAGCATAAAAATTGGTTCGCATGGGCGGAGGTTGATATCGACATCGACCAATTCATCCATCCATCGATGTATTTGAGGGGACAATCGATTCGTTTTGCTTGTTCCTTTCCGAACATAAACTCACAACTGATCCGCCAGAAGGGGAGCAGAGGCTAAAAGGGGGGACCACACACGAACAAAGGTCGTCGCATCGCGAACACGGTACAATGGACTTTGCTGGTCCGACCGGATACGAATTTAGAACCGGAACGAGTCCTCCGGTATTGTGACCGATGTCAAATACGACAAGAACAAAAATAAACTGTACAAACACAAAAAATAATTTACTATGTATATAGGGTGATTCACATAAAAAACGTAAATAATTAAAGACACGTATTTCGTAATGTTACTTAAAATAAGAGAAAATTTAGTAGTTGGCTATGAAATTGTACGTCAAACTTGACGACAAAGTTATAAAGTTATTTGACGACAAGGTTTTCTTCATCTTTTCTCCATCGCCTTTCATTCTTGAGTTATTATCGATTTTAACACCAAAAGTACCCAATTTTGACATTTTGGGGATTTTCTCTTTATCACCTGAAAATCATTACATCTAAACTAAATTTGTTTATGGATGATGTCTTCTTAGTTGACAATAAACAACTTATTCCTAAAAAACTTTTCTCCATCACCTTTCATCCTTGAGTTATGATCAATTTTAATACCAAAAGTACTTAATTTTGACATTT